AAGACCACGGTTTCCACGATGACTTCCCATAGGACATTTTATGCAAACAGCTAGAACAGCTCTTTGATTTTTTGTTAATGTCAGCATCAATTTCCGGCCACCAGCACGTTAGACGTGCTAATGATTTCATTTTATCAGCTCCCAGATAAGATCATCCAAAATCGCAGATCTTAATGTCGGAGGAATAATAATCCTGTCATTCAGGATGGACTGAAATGTCATCTCTTCGCTTATAAAAGTCCGGAAATCTCCGCTTACACTGAATATTCCAACCTCTTTTTGTTGCATTAATAAACGATACTCGGAAATATTACGGATGCATTATAAGTCAAAATCTATCCACAGGTAACGGCTGGACTAACAAACAATCAGTGTCATTAGCAGAATTTTAAAATAATGAATAACGAGATAAGAAGTCTGCATGAGGTATATCCTTAGCCGATCTGTGTTCAGTAGTGTAATCATATGCACTTAGTTCTACACTCCTTCTTTGAATCATAGCAGCAGATGATCTATTCAAAGATTTTCCGGATTGTAAATGAATTTCAAAGCCTGATGATCAGTAACTATGTGAAACTTAGTACCAAAGAGATACTTGTGCAAGCATCTTATTGCCCATACAACTGCCAGAGCTTCTTTCTGGGTTTGTGAGTACCCTTGTTTAATCCTACTTAGACGTCTTGAAATACAAATAACAGTTGTCCATTTTGCTCAAGTACCGCAGCTATTCCCATAGGAGAAGCATCTGTAGTGAGAACAGACTTATCTTTTGATGAAAAAGATCTTAAGAAAGCTTGTTTATTAAGAAACTCAAGAGTTTTTCGCAAGATATCCCCATGTTGTTGTTCCCACTTAGATTGTTTACTGGAGACAATACCAAAAAGTGGAAATAACAGTTGAGTGAAATTGGGAATGAATCTGGAGTAAAACTGAAGAGTACCAATCCATGATCTCAACGACGACATATTATTAGGTGAACGCGCTTGAATTAGAGGTGCCAAACGACTAGCATCAGGTCTGAAACACTCAGAGTCTATTATGTATCCCAAGCATGATACAGACGACAAAGTAAAATGACATTTAGATGGATTAACAAGAATATTTTTCTCACAGAAACGCCTGAACAGTTTTAAAAGACGTTCATTATGCAATTCGATGTTCGGACCATGAACTATAATGTAGTCTTGGTAAGACTTAACACCATCTATCATCTGATTTATTACTTTTTGAAATACTGCAGGTGGAACCTTTAAACCAAGAGGCAAGAGCTAATACTTGAACAATCCAAATGGAGTATTAATGGTTGTTAATGCACTAGACGCTTCGTCAAGAGGAATTTGCAAATAAGCATCTCTTAGATCTATTTTGGAGAAGTATTTTGAGCCATTTAGCTTGTAGTGAACGTCTTCGGTTATTGGCGTGGTGCAACTTTCCTGTAGTAGACGACTTTTGAGCGAAAGGCGGTAGTCACCACAAATTCTCGGTGTTTTCCCATCAGCCTTGACTGGCGTCACAATGGCAGTAGCCCAGTTCGAAGATTCAACTGGCATAAGTATGCCCTGCTCAACCAACTTGTCTAACTCTTTCTTAACTGCATCTCGCAAACCATATGGAATTAATCGGCGCTTTAGGAAGATAGGATCACCCTCTATTTCAAGATGGATGGGCTGAATCTTCATGCCACCTACACTCCTTGAACATTGGAGAACTAATTCTCTGAACAAAGATGCATCAAACAACTCAGTGCAAAGCGAGATTTTGACATTTAACTATCTGAGGGCTGTAGGATTATTTTTGTCCTACAGATTTAGTCCTTCCTCAATACTGACGACACAGAGTCTGGGCTTAACTATAGTTAAAACAGAATGACTTGACTTCAACTTTATCTGTTTCTAAAACATAAAATAAATCATACAATTACACCAAGAAAAATGTACAAATCCACTGTCATTACAAAAAAAGGACGTACCGAACAGTATTGAGGGTACGGACAAAATGAACAGTCAATTAATTACATGTATACACAAATAGAGTGACAGACAAAAAAGAACATTCAAGGTCACATCACGTGGTGAGAGTTACAATAAAGTGACCAATAATCGCGACAAGGTCACATCATATTGATTAACTGTCTATCATATAGTCTATCTATCTGTCGCGATTAACAGGGCTTTTAATCCCAATAAAGATGGACCGTATTCACTAACAAGAAAGGGGATATTCACAAAACTGCCACTATTTGATTTCAAACAAATGTTAGTAGCACCAATAAGAAGTAGTTTATGACCAGTTATACATGTAATGGAACTAGTAGAAGGGTCTATCCTCGCATGCTTACAAAGCGACATTAAATCTTTCTTAGGAATTATATTCAGTACTCCCAGTATCAATTATAAAAATGGGACTTGCATGAACTTGTAGTGAAGGTTCCCATTAGATGAGATTCAGTGCTGTGAAAAATTGAGAGACATTGATCGCATTTTACCAGACAATTTGGGAGAATCATGAGAATTCTGAGTAGCATAAGTATTTGAACTTCTCCAAGCACACTTTCTGTGCCCAATTTTACCATATAGTATGACAATTAGCACCCAGAAAACGGCAAGTGTTTCGTAGATGCGTCTTTCCACAGGAAAAACACAGTTTGATGTTTTTGCACTCTGTCTGCATTCCATTACATGTGGATGACAGTTTGGATTTCTTCTTATGAACACTTGTGTTTTCAACCTTGGACAGCATGACATCAGATACTGACACTCTGGGAGCTAGGTATTCACTGTTGACATCTCCATATGTAATACATAAATCCTTAGCAGTTTGAAAGGTGCAGGAAGGAATCTGAGTCAGCTGCTTCTCTAACGTCGGAATATTGATTCCAGCAATTAGACGATCACGTAGTTGAGTGTAGAGCTGATCTCCAAAGTTGCGCTTTGAAGCTTGTATCTAAAGGTGAAGAATAAAGTCTCTAATCTTCTGGTTGGGAGCAGGAACAAGTTTGTTATGTGGAAGTGCGTGATCTGTTACAAGTTCACGAAATTTATCATATGACAGAAATTTATTCATCTGGAAATGACAAAGTTTTCACTAGGCTGTAAGCATCTAGATCAAGAGCAGTAATAAAATTAGCTGAAATTTTGACATCACGAACATTCTTCAACATGCACCACCCGTCGAAGCCCAATCCGACAAAAGTGCGGAAAATCGTGTCTATAAAGAGGACAGATCTGGGACATCCAATGGAGTTAAAAAGGGGACAAAACTCGGAAATGCTAAGACTTGTCCCCTTTGTCCCAGATCCCCCCACTTTGTCCCCTGAATCAGCAGAATGTCCCCTTTCTTCTAAATCATGTTGTCCCCTTAATCAGCAGAATGTCCCCCATCTGTCCCAATATTGTCCCCTTAATCAGCAGAATGTCCCCTATCTGTCCCCTTAATCAGCAGAATGTCCCCTATCTGTCCCAATATAGTCCCCTTAATCAGCGGAATATCCCCTATCTGTCCCAATATAGTCCCCTTAATCAGCGGAATGTCCCCTATCTGTCCCAATATTGTCCCCTTAATCAGCGGAATATCCCCTATCTGTCCGAATATAGTCCCCTTAATCAGCGGAATGTCCCCTATCTGTCCCAATATAGTCCCCTTAATCAGCGGAATATCCCCTTTATGTCCCTATATTCATCGTTTCTTTTTATCCTAAAACGCAGAATTCCTCCCTATTACTCGCACCATTTTTCCTTCATTCTTTTAACGTCAAACAACTCAAAATTCAAAGAAAGGTTCGTTTTTGAACTAAATATATTTAATTTCAGTATTCGTTAAAGGAACAAGGGAAACAAAAATTCGGCAAGTTCATTCTTAAAGATTAATGAACATTAACAGTAACAAATGATACAGACAATTAATAATAATAAACCATGGAGCAATTCCAGAAATACAAAAATATTGTCTTCGCATTAAAAAAAAAACCCAAGTATGTATTGGATGGTTTACAAATTCTTGGGAAAAAATAAAGCTTGAAGTAACATGAAGTCTAAATGCGGCTTGACATCTGCTCGCCGTCATCCAGTAGGTCCATTGACATATTCTGAAAATTAAAAAAAATTTTGTTAGCAAGGTAGTAATCAAAGGTGACACTTATGAAGACATTTGACATAATCATATACTAGACGTGTTTATGGAGGTTTAAAAATTAGATTCATTATTAAGTGCAAATAAATTATTTGTTCACATACAAATACTCACACTGAAAGACCTTAAGTGTGAGTAATCTCTAATGTTGAATTTCCCAGTAAACATAAAAAAATAATTGAGTCGTAAAAGGCAAACCGTGTACTGTTGAACAAACTATCTACCTAAACATCTAGTGCATGTAACTAACAGAACTAGTTTTCATAGCGTTGACAATTACACGCTATTTACTGGCAGTGGGATCATACATTTAGACAGCATTCATTTAATGAAATTGTCACTTACAGCAGAGATGTTCTGGTCACTCTTCTTCTTGTCAACAGCAACCTGTGAAAAATAATTTGCGTTTATTGATATTCATACAAAGGTTTGCAGTATAGTAACTTTAATTTAAAAGAAACTTTACTTACTCTTGGTCGGGTACACCTTTTGTAGACACGATCACGTACGTCGTGGAAGTAGGCCTTAGTAGTATCTCTCAAAGCTTTTATAACCTCGTCCTCGGGCATCGTAGCAGAAGCGAACTTGCTGACAATGACGGCTGAAAGAAATATTTAAATAAAGCACGCTTACACGTTATAACTTTATAGAAGTGACATTTTAAGAGAGCTAGCTTCTTCGATGTTCCGTACGCAGTGAAGCGACTTGACAGCTTAGGCTCCCATATGTAATTCAGCATTCGTTTCAAGGAAGACTGCGGATTGTACGATAAATTCTCAGCCAGTTTTGTCATCTGAACGTAAATGAAGGTTAACAATGAACTTACGAAAGAATCTCTGAATTTTGGGTTTCTCACTGAAGCTTCAAGTTGGTTAAACTCTTCTTCAGTCGTCAAGGGGAATTGCAGTTGACTATTGTCAATTGACGACTTCCCGGTTCCTAAGGTGGTGACGTCGCCCGACTTATTTGCTGAAACAAACTGCCTCACCAGTTTACTAAGTGACTGCATTTCTTCTTTCAAGAAATCAAGTTTTCCTTCAATGGACTTCACTCTTTCGCTAAGGGAGTGCGACTCAGTCACCGATTTGTCATAGGAATCAGTGATTTCCTTACTGCAAAGTAACTAGTGATTAAAAATAACATACGTAGTCTGCCTATTTGACTGTGTGATTGGTGACGACGTCGCCACAGGCATTTGTGGACTGGAAGTGCTGAAGGAATAAGAATATTAAATGAATGCGCTACCTGGCTGTTGGTGTCATCACAGTGTCCATGAAATTAGTGTCTGGGTATTTCGATGACCAACACACCTTCTGTGCCTCCACAGCTTCCAGTTCAGCGGAGTCATAAACGTACGAGGCGGAGTTCTTTGTCCCCACCCTGTATTGTGTCATTAACGGATAAGAGGAATCTACCTTTGACGTTTTGAATTGGTTTGGGGCAATGTCTCCTCGAGATTCACAGAATTTGACATGATATTATGCAGTCTTTGTGCAGCTGACAAAGCACTCTTGGCTTCTGGAAAAGAGTCTATTTACGGGAATGTAGTTAATACCAAAACAGTTACCTTGCTCTGCTAACGTCTGACAGTAAATTATGTACCAATCCGGTCTAGGATCGATACATGCTTCAACTTCGGAATCCGTGACATCGCTGTGATACACGCACATCTCATCAGACGGCATCCATTTTCTGGCGACTATGCACAAGTCCTTTGTACCCCTTTTTGTTATCACAGCGTAAGTTTTCCTTCCGTCCTGTAAGAAATAAGTAAATATGATATAAACGAAGTTTACAGTCTGATTAGTCCGCTGGTCACTGAATGCAGGAATGTCGACGGTTGACGCAATCAGTCTAAGCAGTTTCTGCGAAAGTATGAGGCAACGGCACTGCTACTTCATACTTGTCTGTACGAATACAGAAGCACTTACAAGTGATAAGTGATGGCTTAATTTCTACCGTGTGGGGGCTTAATTTGGTGTGAACTATTTGCCTATCTACATCTATTTCACATTCATCTATAAGGTTATCGTGTCTTGCTCCTGAATTGCAGTCGTGGAATACCTTTTCTGAAAATCTTTGCGCCGCCTGCTTAGCAATGGCATTGTTAGAATGGATGGAACGCCTAATTGTCTGCATATAAGACTCAAATGGGAACGCGGAAAACGATTCTAAAGGACCCATTTCACGTACATCTTCCGCTAAGTGTTGCAGACAATGTATGTTATAAACTAAGTGCTCCCTGCCATAAATAAATTCAAACTCATTGAGGAAGTTGAGTAACTCATCTCTGCAACCTTCCAAGTAATTACGGTAAAACCTTTTATTAGAAAGAAGGTAAACAGGTATACTAAGTCTTAGGAAGTTGCGGTATATTGCAGGTGGCATAGTGTCCTTAAGTAAAACAGGCCCTAGGTATAGGAGGAAGATGCGACATTCAGTGGCTTTCCACCGACTAACTTCGGTGAGCCCCCTACACTTTCTGGGGAAGTCCCTGGGTGTCATTCCAGCAGAAGCTAATATCTTCCCATCAATGCTTTCAAGCATAAGCCGGTTTACGTGCATTTCCTTCCTTTTAGCTAAGTCTTGCCAGAGACTTATAAGCTTCCTAACTACCCCTAAATAGACTAGGTGCATTGGGTCAAGAGGGAAGCACTTAACCATATCAATGTTTAAATCCTCAAAAGCACTCTGTCCACGGTGGTGACTTGACTGCATCCTTTGACGGAAGCTGCCATCAGTCCGGATTGGAAAAATTCCATTTCCAAATGTCATTCTGCCGTCAACTTTTCTTCCAGTAACTGTGCATTTGTCGCAACCTGCACTGGCATTATGACCTACTATAAATTTCACGTCCGCTCTAGCCGGTGCATCACAGATGACGGCTGTCAAACGAACGTTGAAATGCCTATTCAGTTTGGTAATGTGTATGCCTTGACTTAATATATCCTTTAGCTCAGATACTAAGTCATTGCATAACTCTCTATAACTGCTCGGTTTGCTAGGACCACCGTATATACCTATCATGAATACACTACTTAGGTAAGGTGCCGTAATTCTACCTAACAGGGGCCATAACTGCTGGTTAGAAGACTTGGAGATGGACAATCCGTCGACATTCAACTGCAGCTCAATCGTCTTGTAGTGACTATCAACCATGTAGTGCTGCAGGCATTTTTGGAGACCGATGTGGCAATACATTCCATCTCCAAGTAGTGTAGACTCGCAAGAGCCACACATTCTGAGGACACTTCGAACACTTGTCGGTAGTTGAGGCAATTTCGTACGGAATACCTCCAAGATTCTGTTAGCGCCTGCTTGTGATAGGTTCGCGGTCACCATGATATTGAGTAGCATGCTTGTGATTTCATCACGTTCAGAAGAGACTTGTGGGCACATTTGTGAAGTACTAGCAGCTGGTGTTAGGCTGCTGCAAGGTGGCGATGGCACTACCTCGGGTTCAATGGTCATGGTATCAGTGTTCACTGAAGACGACTCGACTTCAACAGGAGGGACAGCATGTGTGATAGCCTCCGTTGACATCGACGCTAGTAACTCCGCATAGTTACGTTTATACCTTCTGTAAAATGTGGTATAATGGCAGGTCAATCGTAGGTTACGTTCACGTAATCTTTTTAGGCTTAAAATAGGGTATTTAGTGTTAGACTAGGAGAAAATTAGATATGAACCACACCGACCACTTACCTGCATCGTGAACAGTTTAAAAGTGCGCGCAGACTGTGGGACTGTAAACCAGATAAACAAAAAAAAACGGTGCGCTGCAATTAACATTGACCACAGATCTTTTCATAAACTCCACTGATTGGCCAGTAAGCATCAGCCAACATATAAAACCATATTCGTGACACGATATCCTGTGAGTCATACGAGTCACATGAGTGACATTATTCCGAAATACCTTGACCTCTTACATTATCACAGTCAAAGTGACAATAACAAGTCACAGGTGAATTTCTCAGTGTGACTGCAATGTAATGCTATTGGTCACTATTCTTAAATTATATAAGTTTATATACAAACATACATGTGTGTACGCGTGTGTGTCTGTCTGCATTAGTGTATGACAGAAAACGGTGTAGTTATCAGGAAAATAATACTACCATTATTACTTTTAAGTGTCAGCACCTACTTCTGTCTTCTGCTTTTAGGATGTTTTGAAAATATTCAACTGGAAACTGTGGATCTATACATGTAATTATAATCACATTAAGAGAAACATATCAATTAACTGATGAGTTTTTATGCATTTGAAGTAGTTGTAACGTAATTTAGACATAAAAATTTTACTACTCACAATTTATCAGTAACCTCCCGTGTACATTTAAATTTTCCATGGTGTCCACACTTTGTCCCCTTTATTCGGAATATGTCCCAATTCATTAAATGTGTCCCCTTAATGTCCCATTTCATCGAATTATGTCCCAATCGGAAATGAACTAAACCCTTTTTGTCCACATTGTCCCAGAAATGTCCACTTTCTGTCCACACATTTGTCGGATTGGGTATAGGATTCAAGATAATCAGCGATTTCCCACGGTGAACCATTTATAGGAAACTTTTCAAGATTATTTAATTCCATGGCGATGCAAAAATGTTATGATTATTTGTAATAGCGGTAGTCGTATTTCGCAATGACCGAATTACAGGAACTCAACCGAAAACACAGAGAAGGATGAATCTAGAAATTTGTATTTGGCGGAATTACATTTCAATTCATATAATAAATATATTAACAAACAACAGTAAGCATTCAAACAATACAGAGATAGGAATTGTCAATCACCATATAAAAGTTTCGAGAGTGAGTGTAATCAAGGTGTGTGAGACAACATGAAAATAAACCAACAAATGGGGCGGACTAGACATAAATTCAAGGTTGAAAATAACGACAATAATGATTATAAAATAATAAAAGCGATGATGTGGTGTAAACTTTAAAGTACTATCGGTGAATGATTGTCAAATAATAGTAATGAAGTGGAATGAACATGATTTTGTAAATATGATAACAAGTTAGAAAAGCACTGCTAACACCTAAGGTAATAGAAATAACAAGAAAGATCATGAAGTCCTAAGAGGTCAGAAATGAATGTTTATCAATGAAACAAAGGAATAGACGAAGAAAAGAAAACAAATCCTGATAAGAATTTAAAGTGCTAATGTTTATGGAGGATTTGTTGAATTCTTGTAGGCCAAGGTAAACATAGCAGTTGAACATACTTCTTCTATATACAAATAGTCTGTCTTGTGGTTTTGATTGCAACCGCTTCAGCTACTGATAGAAGACGTGGTCGACCTCCTCTAGATATATTACTAGTAATGCAGAATATAACTGAGAATGTCTGGTCAAGTTTATATCGAGTGTCCAACATCTACAATAGCGGTAAATAATTCCTCAAAATTATTGACCACAGCAATCATCACTCAACATTGGATGCTGACCCTCCCTGTTTAAGTCGACCTCTTTAGCTGAAGGCTTCCGGTCAAGCATCCCCGCCATTTGGTACTCCGTCGTGTCACGTGCGTGCACGACTACTAGCTAGCTAAGCATTCACTTCAACCCGTGATTTGGTCCCGAAATATATTACGTACTTTGGACGACTAAATCTGGTCTTTTGCTTTATCTTTGGTACTCGAAGAGCGAACACTATAGAAGTTGTTGGTATAAGATCTTGCGTTAGTATACTCTGTACAGTTCGCGAACGTCGATACCTTCAACCTCCAAACTGGTGAGCCTAACCACGAACTTCATCTTCAATAAACACGCAGAAAACCCGGTGAGTTCGTTCCTTTTTGTGTTTGTTCTTGTACAATATCGTAATTGGCATACATTTCGTCATGAGTGATCCTAGCCCCAAGGTTATTCGTATCCCCTCAACCGCCAGAACAATTCAGCTAGTACCATATTGGCCAGATAATGCCGAAACGTGGTTTCAGATAGCTGAATTGCATGTGGTACCGAAAAAGGATAGTAACGATTGGCGACCCACTGGTCATCACCGGCCAGTAAACGCCGAAACAACCCCTGATTGCTACCCTTTGCCTCACATACACGACTTGACGGCAACGTTATCTGGAGCATCTATATTCTCAAAAATCGACTTGGTTAAAGCGTATAACCAAATTCCGATGGCAACGGAAGATATTCCGAAAATGGCTATCATCACACCTTTCGGACTTTTCGAATTCCTACGTATGCGATTCGGCCTCCGGAGTGCGGCCCAAACATTCCAACGCTTCATCGATGAAGTATTTCGCGGTCTCAACTTTGTATATGCATACTTAGACGACTGTCTCATTGCCAGTCCAGATAAGGGAACTCACCTTAGACACTTGGACTTGGCATTTGAAAGGCTACGCCTACATGGTGGTACCATCAATATTCAAGTGTCAGATAGGCGTTGACTCACTCGACTTCCTGTGTCACACTATTGACTGCCAGACCATTCGCCCACTGGCTACTAAAGTCGAAGCGATACTAAACTTTCCGGAGCCAAAGACAGTGAAAAGTCTTCGCATTTTCAACGGCTTGGTAAGTTATTACCGACGGTTTATTCCCAACTGTGCTTCTCTGATTCAGCCATTGACAGACTTTCTTCGAGGGAATAACAAATCTATCGAACTCGACGCGTCTTCTCGACATGCTTTTACTCAGGTAAAAAAAGCTATTGCGGATGCCACCCTTCTTATATATCAGGATCCAACGGCACCGTTAAGTATCTCAGTTGATGCATCAGACACTACAATCGGCGCAGTTCTGCAACAACTAGTTAACAAAGAGTGGCAACCACTCGCCTTTTTCTCGAGGCGCCTTCAAGTAGCTGAAACGAAGTACAGCACATTCGGAAGAGAACTAGCTATGTACTGTGCTATACGTCATTTTCGACATTCAGTGGAGGGCCGTGAATTCATAATTTTCACTGACCACAAACCTCTGACGTACTCTCTGAACTCAACCTCAGATAAGTATTCACCCAGGGAATCACGACAACTAGATTACGTTTCACAGTTTTCATCAGATATTCGCCATGTTTCCGGAGTTAACAATACTGTGGCAGATGCCTTGTCACGTATTTGTTCCTTCACCCAAATCGACGGCATAGACCTTGTTAAATTGGCTCGTCTTCAAAAAGAAGATACCGAGCTTCGGCATGAGTTGTCGATAACGACTCTACAATTAGCCGAGAAACCCTTAGGTATAGGAAAAGATACTATTCTCCGTGACATTTCCACTAGTACTCCTCGCCCTATCGTGCCTAAAAGTTATCGCCGTAACGTCTTCAATACGTTGCATGGCTTATCCCACCCAGGTATTCGAACTACTGTCAAGCTCGTAGCTAGTCGGTTTTGTTGGCCTGGTATTAACAAGGAAGTAAGGGAATGGGTACACACGCGCTTGTCTTGCCAAAAGTGCAAGGAAATAAGACACACCAAAAGCCCCCTTGGCACATTTCTTATCCCCAATGCCCGTTTCGAACACGTCTATATAGATTTAGTTGGCCCCCTCCCAGAATCTCATGGATATACCTACATGTTAACCTGCATCGATTGCTTCACACGATGGCCTGAAGCAGTACCCATCAAGGATATATCTGCTGAAACCGTCGCACGCGTCTTTGTAGAAAGATGGATCGCAAACTTTGGATGCCCATCTTCCATAACAACTGATCGTGGGCGGCAATTCGAAAGCGGTTTGTTCTTCGCTTTGACTAAAATCCTTGGTTGCATGCGTTTTCGAACAACAGCCTACCATC